TTTTTCCCATGTATAATAGTTTTCTGTGGAAACACTAAGATAAGAATCTCTTCATGACTTATTCTGGAATATTTACATAAGAAAAAATTTTCTTCATAAACTTTGTAATTTATATCGCTACAAATACTGACTTTATTTCTAGTTTCCTAAAGAAAGAGAGATAATAAATTGAGGTAATTTTTAACCTAATAAAATAATATAATACATGTTTATTTTAGAAAGATGGAAGATACAAATAAACTAATAAAAAAATTAAAATCATTACTATTACACCATTCGGGGCTAAACCATATAAATATAAGCATCTGAGTATGTCATCTACAAGCTATTTTTTCCTTTCTACATATACATATATATGTTGGCTACTGTACAGGACAAAGCAGAACTATATGTACTCTTTCCTCAAACATCATTTTCATTGGCCATATAATATTCCGTTGTATGATATAGATGAGCCTTAGTCTATGTTAAGTAATCTTTGTTGATAATCTCCAGATTTCTAGTGAGTTTTGTTGGTAAGTTCTTTGACTTGCATGTTTATAAAGCCTTTTTCTTTAGAATAATAATATACACCATGGTTTATTTCCTAGGTTAACTCCTGAAATCCTTATTGATATCTATCACATATCTAATAAGCTGCACTGCTGGACAGATGGCACCCTAGCACTTAAAGCATAGCATCTTCTTATCACAATATTTCTCTGGAAATCTCTGTAATCCAGTTAGCACCTGCCATAGTGTCAGGGATGTAGCAGGCACTCACAATATCTGAATGAAGGGGAGATGGGATTATCCCACTGCTCATGTTGTCCTGGCAAGAACAGCCAAATTGAATGGATGGTGTTGACTTTCTGGACTTTGGGAAGAGAATTGGAGGAGAGTTGTGAGTGGCAGGGAGGGCACACTCGACAGCAGATTCCCTCATGGCTGTGTCTTTAGCAGTTGCCAGCAGTTCAACCTTGATAAAGACTTTCCCAGGAACTTTATCTGGTGGCAAAGATGTGATGAGGGAAGGCAAAAATTACAGAAATCTTGAACAACAAACTTAACTTAATTGACGTTTATAGACCATTCCACCCATCAGCAACAGAGTACACATTTGTACAAACTCTTATCATGTTCTGAACCATAAAATAAGGAATTGATGGGCAGTTTTTTTAATGAAAAAAAGTTAAGTGTATGCCTTTTGTATGCAACTGTTCTACTTCTGTTTATTCAAGAGGATGGTATATATTTACATAAGGATTCATACATGAATATTTGTAGCTATCTCATTTGTAAATGCCAAAAACAAGAAATAAACTAAGTGTTCATCAACATGTGAATGGATAAACTGTGGCAGAGCCATACTACAGAATGCTGTTCAGTAGTAAAAAGGAGTAGACTGTTGATACATTCAACAACATGGATGGATCTCAAATTTCACTTAATGTAAGGTAAAGAAGCCAAACAAAGGACATATACTCTGTGGTTCCAGCTTATAAATGTTTAAACATGAATAGTAGCCCTTTGTATTTGGATGTCCCCTCTCATGGAACATAAAGAGATTGTTGGTGATTATATGGGACAAGCTTATGCCAGCACAAATTTTTCAAAAATGTATGTTCCCTTGAAGTTTTCCATTCAAATTGTATGAAAAAGCAAATAAATAGATGGACTGTATACTGAGATATACATAAAAAAGTATCAGCTGGCATTATGCAGAAACAATGTGTGAAGAGCTTTCACAGTGGTGCACAGGTTGGGCAATAAATTACATATTATTAATGTGTGAGGAAGAAAATGAGACTGCATTGTCTGCTGAAATAGAAAAATACAAGAGACCGGGCGTGGTGGCTCACATCTGTAAGGGAGTTCAAGACCAGCCTGGGCAACTTGGTGAGACCTCGTCTCTACAGTAAATAAAAAAAATTAACTGGGTGTGGTAGCACACACCTGTGGTTCCAGCTACTTGGAAGACTGAAGTGGAAGGATAACCTGAGCCCAGTAGGTAGAGGCTGCAGTGACCATGAGCATGCCACTGCCCTCCAGCCTGAGCAACAGATTGAGACTCTCACTCAAAAGAAGAAGAAAAATACCAGATGGAAGACTTCAAACAGATTACTATGATGCAACATGTATCAGTGAACCAGCAGTGCATTAAATATAAGTTACAAAATTTTGATTATTTTTGTCATAAATTAGTTCCTTAATGTCAAAAATCCCATTATAAGCCAAGGATCAATACAATAAAATAATTGATTCCAGTGCTATACTATTTTAATATGAAGTGATTAATTTTTCACTATTTTGTTAAAAAGTGCATTCAAGTTGCTAGTAGGTGATCCGCGTGATGTCTCTGAGTGCAAAAGGCTAATATCCTGAGACAGAAAGTACATCAGTAATTGCCTGAGGGTGGAGGTTGGAGGGACAGGATGGGAAGAAGGTTTAAAGGGGCATGAGGAAACGTTTGCGGTGATGGATTGTCCTGGCTATAAATGGTTTTATAGGTTACGCATATGTCAAAACATAAAATTGTAGGCCGGGCTCGGTGGCTCAGCCTTGTAATCCCAGCACTTTGGGAGGCTGAGGCGAATGGATTGCCTGAGCCCATGGGTTCGAGACCAGCCCAGGCAACTTGGCAAGACCTCGTCTCTACAATAAATCAAAAATTAGCTGGGTGTGGGAGTACACACTTGTCCGGCTACTTGAAAAGCTGAGGCGGAAGGATCGCCAGAGCCCAGCAGATTGATGCTGGGGTGGCTGTGAGAGTGCCACTGCTCTCCAGCCTACACGACAGAGTGAGACACCAACTCCAAAAAAAACACAAAGAATTGTACACTTTCAAGATGTGCAGTTTATTTTATAACAATTATACCTCCATAAAGCTGTTTTATTTAAATGTCTTATTTAGACATTTAGTATTCTAGGGTTGTTTGCATCATTAAAGTGTTTATTAAACACATGCAAATGGCATGACATTTTATCGTGTACTGTTCTGGGTTGATAAAAGAGCCTTGCTTTCTGAATTTTACTTCCGTATAACCAGAATCAATGGAAAGTATTGGGAATCTAGAAAATAACCTCTCCATTTCTCATCGAGGAAAAATCTTTCACACACATGGTTAACAATTGACCAGTTATTTTTTTTCTTTAAGTTACAATGATTTCAAATTAAGAAATCAATCATGTTGCATCAGCCTGATTAGAGAAAAAGAATAGAAAATAGGGTGGTAATTCAGTGGTTATCTCTTGATTTTGAATTCAGGTGAGATTCCTGAGCTAGTGGCTTTTGATGTGTTCTGTGGTTTGATCCTAAACTACCTGTTTAATGTTGTTTCCTCCTTACCCCAGAATGCACAGTTCCTACTTCATTGCCTTGGTTAATGTTTTTCTCTGCCTAGGATTCTTATCCACTTCACCTCATCTTTTGTCTCTATTTTATAAAATTCTACCCATCCTTTAAGTTCTTACTCAGATCCTAACATGCTTTTTCTGAGTCTCTCATCTGGAAATGTGTCATCTATCTTCTGTCTTTTAGTAGACACTAAGCGCAGATGAGGGGGGACACAAAAAAACCCTGGAATTATCTTTTGGAGGGTGGACCCCTTGAAGTACAGGCTTCTCTCACTGGATAAGTGTTCTAGGAACCCATTGGCATCAGTGTACCAGCTCATGTTGTTTTGAGAGGTTGTGTTCAGCTTCAGTGAATTTTTTTTTGGAGATTCTTTCAACACATTTGCCCATTTCATGATGAGTGATTTATGAGTACACCTGCCCACACATGCTGAGTGTTCAACAATTTTTGACCAAAAACGCCATGACCCCCATGCCCCCTCCCTCTTCACATGAGCAACTTCTTTTTGTTTCCCTGGATGGAAAAAGTGCTCAGAAAGAAATATTTTGCTGATGTGGAAGAGGTGAAACAAAAAACGGCAGAGCCCTAAAAGGCATCAAAATTGTTTTGAGTAGTGGAAAAAGCATCTCTATAGGTGTATTGCATCAAAGTACTTTGAAGTTGACTATAAAGTTTGAACATGTAAGAATACATACACAATTTTTTATAAATAAATTCTGGGTTTTTTGGGTCCCCCCCTTGTATATGTTGGTTGTGCCATAGAAGAACACAGTAAGAGCAATGATCAGTGAGGTCTTTCTGTTTTGCAATGGAGTAGATACAGAATTATGCTTTTTGGCTACTTTTTAAGTGCATTTGACTTGTTCACTGTACTTTTGACAAGTAGGGTAAAACCAATTGTTTTGATTTTATCTTTGAAGCAACTTGTATAGTGTTATTCATAGACAGACTAGTGGCAGATTTACTGTCCTTGTGACTTTTTTTCCCTCAAGCTAAAATTTAAATTATGTGAAATCTCTTCACACACACACACACACACCCCCCTCCATTAGAACTGTGCAATGGTAGTTGGAAAAAGGGAAGTCAGTTCATTAATTTAAATCAGTTAGATGTGTGCTTTGGGAGGCTGAGGTGAGTGGATTGCCTGAGCTTGCGGGTTCGAGACCCGCCTGGGCAACTTGGCGAGACCTCATCTCTACAGTAAATAAAAAAAACCAACCGGGCGTGGTAGCATGTGCCTGTAATTCCGGCTACTCGGAAGACTGAGGCGGAAGGATCGCCGGAGCCCAGCAGGTCGAGGCTGCGGTGGCCGGGAGCAGCCACTGCCCTCCAGTCTGGGCGACAGAGTGAGACTCCAACTCAAAATAAATAAATAAATAAATAAATCAGCTAGATGTAATTTAAGAGTTGACTTAGGGAGTGTACCTTCAGTTTACACTAAAGGCTACACTTCCTCTAAAATTAAGAGAAAAAGTTGGCTTGATGGCATTTTTTTTTTTTCTTAATGGCATCTTAATATTGGATTATTCACTGTGTCATAGCAAGAGCATGAATTAGGTATGAGTCATAAATTATTTGGAGAAATATATTTTTTAGATTGTAGGTGAGAGGTATTCTTTGGAGAGTTCACACCCTTGATCACTTCTTAAATTTATTTTTCCAGGTCCGGACCCTATTTGTCAGCGGTCTTCCTCTGGATATCAAACCTCGGGAGCTCTATCTGCTTTTCAGACCATTTAAGGTATTTTTTTTTAATCTTTCAGAAGTTGTAAAACGAGACAGAATGAATCCTGCATTGGGGCTTTTTGGAGGAAGAAATGAAATATCTGAGAAAGCACTTTGTAAAGTGATGTTTTTAAAAGTTTAGTGGGTAAAGGATTTTTAACAAATGAGTTCTAATGTACAGTCTCACTTAGGATAATAGACTGAAACTGCCTTTGGAACTCCAGCAGCCAAGTTTCTTCTCTTACTGATGGGAACATGCAACTGGTTCCTATTATCTATTTCTTACAGAGTAGTCTTTGTATCCTTGTTTGCCCTACTACAGTTGGTGATACACTTCTGAGTACTGAGCACCAAAAAATTATAAATTACATGTTGCATATTTATATTTCAAATGCAATAATATAAGTCAAGACCTATCGCTAGGTGCTTTCCTTATTAACTGAAAACAGTGCTACTGATACTATGCTTTGGTAACATAAATAGGCTGTTATACACTAAGTTAAGAACCCAACCACTGTTAATTTTTCCATGGCAAAAGTGTTCTAAGTTTCAAACAATGTAAAACAAAACTTTAGGGATAATTTAGTTTTCATTGAGGGGAATATTTCTTGGTATCTAGTGAAATATTTAATGAATTGCCTGTCCTTCCTGACTGTGGAAATAAAATCACTCTAGAGATGTTTAATCTTACTAGGATTGAAAGTTTAAATGGAATTTAGACTAAAGCTAAAATAACCATGCTGCCAAGAAGAAACCTTGAAGGTTGGTCTTGGAGGATAGGAGAAAGCTGGAATTGGTCAGAACATAGGCCTGGAAGGCATAGTGAATTCAGGGCTTGTGTCCAGGACATGTGAGTTGATCATTGTGGATGTGTTAGCTGCAGTGCCTGGCAGAAAATGCACTTATGATTAGGTGATGGACAATCTTGATATGTGGTTAAAGATCCATCCTTGCTGAAGCAGGGTCCCAGCTAGAGAGGCATGACAGATTGAGGGACAGGATTCGGATATGACAGCTGAAAATGCTTGGGTTGGTAAGGAGGAAGGAGGGTTGGGAGGGGCAGCCAGCTACAACCAACAAAGATAAAATAGTCTAACTTATGTGCCAAGGAAGCACCATGTAATAATGGACATAACTCTGTCTGACAGCCGTCTCCTTAATGCAGCAGTGATGATGACAGCACAGAGGGAAATAGAGAGTGTAAGTGCAAGGTCATCTGAGAGGAAGTGGGAAAGGAAGAGAAGGTGTTGTGGAGAGAATGCCAACTTTTTAGAATTTCCTGAGTTTCTTCTGTAGGGTTGCAGTTTTGTAAAAGGGACAGTTTTCTGTTGCTGTAATAGAATGGTGACTTTTTGAAGCGAATTACTCATTTTATTGGATAAAATACTGTTGTTGTTTTTTTAATGGGAGAATGAGATTCAGCCAGCAATCCCCTTACATGAAGTATCTTAATTAAGTCTCATCGCAGTCCTTTAAAGGGGGTTAGCCTCATTTTTTTCAAATAAGGAAAATGAAACTTGGAACAACTGAATAAATTGCGCTCAAGTTTACGCACATAATAAATGACAGCCAGAATCCAAACTCAAGCATTCTAACTCGGCCACCCGTTTTGAACTATTATGTTATACTGCTTCTCTGTTTGTGACTTGAGAACATAGTATATCCCTACCATGGTGTTTCACTTGAGTGAAATATCCATTTGTCCTTTGCCTTCTAGTTCTTTAGGGTGTTTAAACCTCCAGGTTTTTCAGAAGAGAGCACCTTGAAAAAAGGAAGAGGCAGAGCTGTGAATCATGACCTCTCTGGCCATAAGAGCTCAAGGCTTTTGAGGTATAATGTTTATAGTAGCTAATTGGTAACATAGTTCTCTGCTGGGAAGATGTAAGGATGAATCAATCTCAGCACCCTGCCCAGAAACCTCAATGCTAAAGTCAGGACCCTGGTACATTCCTGACAACCTTCTTTTAATTAAAGTCCCTGGAGGCTGAGCGGAGTCTGCAAATCTGTCTCTTCACTGATATGTGTAGTGGTCAGTCATGTCAAGTGATGTTTTTTCGTCTTTGTGCCATCCATCAGTGCAAGCCACTAGCTATTGATTATTTTCAGAAATAAACACACTTTGTTACCCTTATTCTGAGGAGCCAGGAGGGATGAAGAGAGGAAATGAAAGGGGTTGTTTCTGTTTTCTTTGAGGATGAGCTGAAGTGAAAACCTAATGGAATTTTTGCTTGTCCCAATCAGAATTCCAGCATGAAAACTGGGTGTTTCAATAACTAAAAGAGCTAATAAAATGTAGTATCACTGTCCCCTTAACCTTTTCTGGCAGTTTTGACAATTTGATCAACAAGTTCTACCTACTGTATTCTTAATGTTTCATTGTTCAGTGTATGACCAAGTCAGCACATGCTGTGACCTTCCTATCTTATCAGATTTACCCCATTCCCATGCCTACTTCTTTTTTTCTTCTTCTTTTTTTGAGTTGGCGTCTTGGAGCCTCACTCTGTCGCCCAGACTGGAGTGCAGTGGCCGCTCCCGGCCACCGCAACCTTGACCTGCTGGGCTCCGGCAATCCTTCCGCCTCAGCCTTCCGAGTAGCTGGAATTAGAGGCATGCGCTACCACACCCGGCTGATTTTTTTATTTATTGTAGAGATGGGGTCTCGAACCCGCGGGCTCAGGCAATCCACTCACCTCAGTCTCCCAAAGGCGCAGGATTACAGGCTGAGCCACCGAGCCCAGCTCCCTTGCCTACTTCTGTACCTACCCTATTCTTGTCTAGACTAAGGGATTAAAAATAGATCTGCTGTTGACAGAGATGCCCATTTTCCTCCCATTGCTTAATTTCTTGAGAATAATAGAAGGGAGAGAAATACATGCAGATACATAGCTTGCAGGGTTTGACTTTTTTCCTTAGACCTCAAGAGTGCAAACAGGTATCTGTGCACATGAACATAAATGTGTACAATTTGTTTTCCCAGTTAACCTTGGGGACATTTGTGAGAGGAGCTAGATAGTAGTTATAGAGGACTTATTTTTATTTGAGTAAGGTGATATTGCAATTACTTTTTCTTTTTTTGCTAAACTTGGTTTTCTTTATTTTCAGGGCTATGAGGGTTCTCTTATAAAGCTCACATCTAAACAGGTAAGAGTTTTAAACTTGGATGTAAAAGAGTACTTTTTTACTTTGTTCAGGAATGTTGCTAGAGCTTGACGTTCTTTTTTTATTCCTATTAGGATTTGGGGTTTTTGTGTGTGTGTGTGTGTGTGTGTGTATCTTTAAAATTAAGAGTGATTGATTAGGAATTAACACAGGAAAATGATTCATACTTGTATAGTCTTCAGCTAGAATTTCTGGGACTGTCCCAAAGGCAGGCAAACACAGAGCATCCAGTATAGTGTAGTCAGATTTATTTGCATGTTCAAAGGAAATGATGGTTTATTATCTAAATTCACTTTTATTTCTAATTCTTTCCTGTTTCTTGTTATGAGGTTAAATGGGGAAATTTTACAATCAATTTGAATATCAAATGCCAAAGAATCATGCTGTCTTTCAAACCTCTAAACAGGCAGCATCCTAAGTCTAGAATGAAGCATTGAAATGAAAGTACAGAATGGTGGTAGTAATCCATGACTCTGATAGTTCCTACAAGCTTCTTAGAGATTTTAGATATATATATTTAAGATGAACACCTGGCATACCTCTCCAATCAGTGTTCATCTGTCTTATCAGAAATAAATGCTGTTGCAGGTCCTTCAGGACTGAAAGATAGAGTCCAAAGGGATTATGACCCCTTATTATTCACTTTGAACAGCGTAGTTAACATGCCTAATTGAACACAGGATTTTTTAAGGCATCCTTTGGGATTTACGATGGAAATGTTCACTTTGTAATTTTGGTCATGCAGTGAGAATACAGGGGTTTTATCATTGTGTTATTGTATTCCTTGCACTTACAGTGTACCAAAAGGTGATTCGTTCTCTTTCCATTTTAAAAGATGAAGAAACTGAGGTACAGTGAATTTGATTTAGGAAAATAGAGCCTCTCCAACCCAAGTTTTCCTCTATTCCCTTGTTCACTGCTGTTCACCTTCCAACCACTTCTAGATTTTTTTGTGATTCTCTAAATCCCCGGCTGTGCCCTTGAAGAACTACCCTCACCATCCCTTTGATTCATGTTAGAAATTTGGCTAAGCCACTGAGTCATGATTCTTCGGGACTGGCTTTCTTACTTCTACCCATTGCCTGTGGTCATTTCTTTGTCTTAGCTCTTCAGTTTGACATCACTCTTGACCAAGAAAAATAGACATCCTCTGATTTTTTTTTTCCTTCATATTTCTCTTTCTTTCCTCAGCCCGTAGGTTTTGTCAGTTTTGACAGTCGCTCTGAAGCAGAAGCTGCAAAGAATGCTTTGAATGTAAGTACTAATGATGTGATTGTAGGGGATTTCCTTATGAGGTGGTGGGAAGTCATAGAATCTCTTTGGATAGGAAATCAAGTGGAGGGATTGCTTAATCTAACAGGAAGGGATTCATCAATTTAATTAGCTTTCTAAAGAGCTTTTCCAAAATTGTGATCAGGTGTGCAAATTATTAAATAACACTCTGTTTTTGATAGCTTTTGCTGAAAAGCCCAAAATATCTGATATCTGGTGATGCGGCTCTTAGGTGTACAGGTGTATTTTCTCTACAGAGGATATGATCGAGAGATTAGCTTGGTTATCATACTCTAAATGGCTAAGCCCAGAATAGATCAAAATCTTGGCCTTTCTTACCTTACCTTGTGAACTTTTCCTCTGGTATGTGACTGTTGTTTTGTTTTTTTTTAAACAGGTATAGATTTTATTTTGGGTAATTAATAATTTGCATGCAAGTCTTCTCTGAAAGACATTCTGCTTTGTAATATAATAAATTATAGTCAATTGTAATTGAGTAGAGTCATCAGTATTTGGTTTGTAGGGTTTTTTGTCTGCCATGTTTTGAGACTGACTGGCATTATTTTAGTAAATATTTTTTCTCCTCACTATGTTGAGGGAACTAAGTCTAGGGAAGGTGAAAGGAAGCAGAATTTAGTTTCACATCCTGAGGACTGATCCTCAGGTGAGGGGTCTCAGTGAAGTCTGGCTCCATCAAGCTCTGAGCAGTTGGCCTAAGCAGCTATGAATAGTGTTGATTAAAGCACTCAGAGTGTTTATGGTGCTTCCAAGAAGGCAAGTGGCCACTTGACTGATTGCAATACAGTTGCCAGTGTGTAGGCTTCTGGGAACTTGTCACTGGCTTTTGTGTTGCTGTGGTACCTGCAGGTGCCAGCTGCTCCTCTGAGTAGACCATGGAAGGGTGCTGTTGGAGAGACTTGATACTCTGATGACTTGGAGGCCGAGGGGAAGTCTTTACATGAGTCTGTTTACTTTGTATAATGGTGTCACTGTGACACAAACTTGAAAAGTTTCTAGACTATGAAACCAAAAATCTGTACACTCTCAGAAGTTGTTTTTGTTGGTTTTTTATGTAAAGCACATAGGAACGTCGTTGGTCAGGAAAAATGTCTCCTCATTGTTTCTCTCCTATAGAACAAAGTGTAAATCAGTTATTTATTAAACTCAATGGTACACACTAAAGTATGTTGTGTAATTGAATGTTTTAAAATTGTTTTGCGATTTTTGCATTACACAGATAAAACCAGAATTTTCTCAACGTCATGTAATTATAAACTTAAACCACAAATTCTACTTAAGCAATACCAGATGGGTGTTGTTCTAAATGCAAAAATATTCTGAGTCCTTGAAAGTTACATTAGGTGAAGTTTTCACCATGTTCTTTTCATTGTTCTTATAAAGGAAGTAACATGCAATTGAAGCTTGTTCACAGAATGGGCTCTCATTGCTTACTTTATTTCTGTTGTGTGTATAAAGATGCTACTGGTTCAGTGTCTGAAGAACAAAAAAGCTTTTATAGTGACTTCTCTCATCTAACTAAGGCAACATTTTCTTAGGTACTAGGTTTTTTTTTTTTAAGATAACTGAAATTTATATTTTTAAATGTTTACGTCATAATAGTTAGAAATTGTGTTTCCTTGCCATACGTGAGTACAGCAAACATAATTTCAGTTTTTCTTGGTGCCTGAAGATTATCATTACAAATAGCAGGTATTGAACCTATTATTATTAACAGTGATACGTATTTAAGCCTGTTTTCCCCTAAGCTAACTTGCCCCAGACGACTGTGTTTTCTGATCCTGAGGTCTGATTTTAGGCTGTTCTCCTTGCACCCAGCTCACCCTTCTTTTCACTGGTAGCACGCCTTTCTTTAGTAGCATCTTCTCCCGTAATCATTATGCTGTTTGCTATTCATGTATTAAAATCTTGGGAAGAGCCCCCAAATAAAACAGGTCTAATTCTGGTCTGTTTTGTGGAGTTAAGGGGAACTTTTCATAATTACCTATGGAGCAGTAAGCCTGGGCTTTCTGCTGCTCCAGGGTTGACTTGTGTAGGGCATTTACTGAGCTCCTGGCTGATCTCTTTCTTGACATTTTCAACTTTTAAATGTAAAGTATTAGAGGTCCTGTGTTCCTTAGAAATCTTCCTAATGTTATAGTTAGGGAAGCAGACCTGGAGAGGACAGGTGATTGAGTCAGCAAGTGTAGGTTTAGAGCTGCAAGTAGGAAGCTACTAAAAGTAAGCCTCCTACAGCTCAGTTCTGTCCATTTTATACAACATCTTGTTGCTTGCTTTATACAAGGAATGTTTCTGCATTTTTGCTGGTGGCAGTGACAGACTATTAAATTCACACTGTCCAGGACAAATGACCATGATAAAGTTTGATATGTGACCGTGGAGAGTATCTTCTCTCTGCAGAGAAAATGGGCCCATTCAAGGCAGTACACTTAGTCATGAAGCTAACAGTTATCTTCTCTGTGATCTAACATATTAGGCTCTTTTCAGGGTCATCTTTTCTAATTGATGCATTAAAAACATATGCCACACATAGCCATTACAAAATTTTCCTGTCATGTCTTTTGTCTGTGCTTCTCTTAAGAGCTTTTTTTCAACATTCATTCGGAGAGTGAGTTCTGTGTTGTTTTATCATATTCTACTATTGAGAAACTTAAATCTCAATCCAGAAAATTTCTCTATGTAGAATAGTTTATGGTGTTATGAACCACTTCTCCATGTTTGGTGCTTCTCTTTCTGTTATTATTTTTCTGTCTTGATTACTGTCTGGTTCAGTTCTTAGTATTAATAATACTCTTTTCCCAAAATGACTTTTTTAAAAAAATCCATTTATTTTCTTCATTTTTGAACTAGGCTTCAGTTAACTTGATAATTTAATGGAAAAACATGCTCAGAATGAATTAAGAGGTAATGCTGAACTTTTATCGGGGGTTACTGAAACTTTCTAAGGTAAATACAGTGTGTTTTGTTTTTATTACAAAAACTTCCAAGTTAAGCTAATAATAATCCAAACCCAGACTTCTTTTCAGGTTATCTATGGTTCCATTAATCTACATGATTAGAAAGCCCATTCATTCTTTAACCTGACAGCAAAATATCTGACCTATTATTCATCCTTTGCACGTATTTATAATTTCTGTGTAGTTTTAAAATTTCTGAGCGAATGGAAAGGAGTGCTGAAAATTAAAAATATCTAATTATTTTTCAGACTTGTTTATAATTTCAGAAAGTAAGTCAAATACACTGATACTGGAAGTTACCTTGGTTTAGGGGAAATTCTGACTTCTGAAAATTTTTAAAAGGAACACAAGAAGCAGAACCAATCTAGGGCTAAAGATTCTGTGAAGATGGAGGAATGAGAATGATCCATCTCTGGCTATTCCCAGCAAATGTGAGAGGCTCAAATTGTTGTCTAGTAGAAATCTTGTTTTAATAAATAAGGGTGACTTGCAATTAACCTTCAGATCAGATCAACAGGCTTATGCAGAATCCCCAGCTTGTGTGTAACTCCATAACAGGCCAATCTTGTCTTGCTGGTGTTTGGAAATTGCTCACTTTGAGGGGTGGGGGCAAGAGTTCGAAGCCACTTATTGGGTACAGTGATCACTGTTTAGGAAAGGAGAATGCCTGAAGCCCAGTCCCAACTAGTATGCAATATGCCCATTTAACAAACATGCACCTATACTCCCTCAATCTAAATTTTAAAAAAAAAATTGTTTTAAGTACTTTGTAAACTCTTTAGTATATGTGCCAATCATATGATATCTTTCCTCCCTAATTCTGATCGTTGTTAGTGTGCTAGGTTCCATCTTAGACTCTATTGTAAATTATTATGTGAGAACTAGTGAAGTCTGAAGAGCCTTAGCTGGGCATGGTGGCACATGCCTGTGGTGCCAGCTACTTGGGAGACTGAGGCAAGACGATCACTTTAGCCCAGAAAGTTGAGACTGTGGTGAGTTAATGATCACACCACTGCACTCCAGCCAAAGTTACAGAATTGAGATCCAAAAAAAGCAGATTTTAAGATTTGCCATTTTAACAATTTTTGAGTTACAATTTTGTGACATTAATTACATTCACAATTTTGTGCAACCATTACCACTATCTATTTCTACAACTTTTTCAACAACCCAAGTAAAAACTCTGTAACCATTAAACAATAAATACCTCCCTTCCCCCAGCCCCTGGTAGCCTCTAATCTACTTAACTTTCCCTGTGAATTTGCCTATTCTAAATGTTGAAATGTTTATCCTTTCATTTTTGTCTTGTTCTTAGCATAATATTTTTGAAGTTCATGTATGTTGTGACATTTATCAGAATATAATCCCTTTTTATACCTGAATACAATTTTGTATGAATATATGTTTTGTTTATACATTCATCTGTTGATGGGCACTTATATGTTTCCACTTTTGGCTATTGTGAATCATACTACAAAGAATATTGGTGTGTAAGTATTATTTGTTTGAGTCCCTGTTTTCAATTACTTTGGGTATATACCTAGGAGTGTAATATCTGGATCATATGAAAATCGTATGTTTAGTTTTCTGTTCAGTTTATAACTGGTTTCATAGTAGTTATACTATTTTACATTCCTCCCAACAATGTATGAAGGTTATAATTTCTCCATATGCTCACCAATACTTGTTCTGTTGTTAAAATTATAACCATCCTAGTAGATATGCAGTGATCATTGGGTTCTTGCTAAATGCCTTTGATTTTTAATAGTAGATTTGAGTTCTTAGGAATCCCATATGACTTAAGATGTTTCTATTAACAGAGACTATTAACATTTCTTTTCTGCAATGGCAGTTCTGATTAATGGAACGGTCTTATCCTTAAACAGTTTGTTTATCTGTTAATATATAACAGAAGGGAGAAAATTCAATGTTCATGTGATTAATTTAGTAAGACTTGAAGGGAAGGTATTTTCTCAAGGTCTAAACAGATTTTAGAATAAAGAGTTG